ATGAATCTCTGAGATGGTTTCAAAATCTGTGTTATGATGCAGTATCTAATTTGCAAGTGTTTTTCTGATTACATTTGTATTTCTTGTTTATTCCAATGAATTAGTACTTAACCAGATTTTCTGGATTGCATCCAACTGATGTAAATCATGGAATCATAGAAAAGTAGGGTTGGCAGGGACCTCAGGAGGTCACATCTAGTCCAACCCCCTGTTCCAAGCAGGGCCAGCCCCAACTGGATCATCCCAGCCAGGGCTTTATCTAGCCCGGTCTTAAAAACCTCCAAGGATGGAGATCCCACCACCTCTCTGGCAATTTGCCCTGCATTACAGCGTGCATGCAGAGGCGTGCCCCATAGTGCCAGTTCCTGCTCGTGGGGTGTGCCCCATGTATTTACAAGGTATAGTTCTATGGAGTAGTCATTTTAGTTGAGACTATTAAAAAAAAAATCAAAACACCATCAGGATGAAGCACCTGCTTTTTCAGAGACAGTTAAGACACCATCCTAAGCAGTGATCTTTTGAAAGCTGTAGCACCCAAAAGTAATCCTTCAAGGGAAGACAGACAAGTGCAGCAAATTTGAGCCATTTGTTCCTTGGAGTTCAAAACTGCTTTAAAAAAAGCAAGTTGAGCCCATTTCAGTTTACTGAAACAGTCCAAAAGCAAGGGCAGGGGAAATGTGTAGGTACACAGAAATTTGCGTGTCAATACCAGTTTCCCAAATAATAGTTTCACAAGATGTTTTCCATTTTTGCAACCACAAGAAATAAATTATGATTATATTACAACACACAGCTTCTCACCTTTTTTCCTGTCAGGTGCAGTTCTCCCAGAATATTATATTTTATGTAGTGTAACATGGTACCCAATATTTTAAACTCACCATGAGCCACATTGTTAATACAGTCAAGGTACTGTCTTCCATTTTCATCATACATATACTGGCCTTTTGCCCTGACAATCTTCACTGGATCTTCGGGAAAGAAGAGCTTGCAAGAAGACCTGGAGCAAACATCAAAAAGGCACAACTTAGCATGAACCTGATCACGCAAATCAGTTCTTTTCACAACAAAAATGGAGATGACGCACCCAAGCGAAGGCAGTCTGAACTACTCTCCTTCAGTCCCCTCCCTGGTGGTGCTCACCCCGCGAGGTTCCCTGCGGTCTGGATCCGGCCTTGAAAGGAGCCGAGGGAGTTTGACACCCCTGCCTTAAGAAGAAGAGAGATTTTGCTTTGTGCTCTTAACACTGAAGTGACATCCAGAGCCAAGGGCCTTCCACAGAGATCGCCAAACTCGGCTGTAAACTTCAGTCAGATCTGAAGCTTTGTGGTCCTCTCCTTTTACAGTATCCCAAACCTTCACGTTGTCTCCTGCAGCCTCTCGTCTCAGCTTAATCATCTCTGTCACCTTCCCTGTAGCCTTTCAGGACCCGACACGGCGGACGGAGCGAGGCATGAAAGTCATACGCCTCTGACCAGCACGGCTCTGCCTGCGGGGCTGTGAGCGTTAGCTGCTCTGTTTGATCGGCTTTCATGTATAATAAGCCCAGAACAGTCCCAAAACCTACTGCTTAAAGGAGCGGGAGGTGATGCGGTTCCTACACCATGAACTGGGGGACAAGGTCCCTTCCAGCCCCATGAATAGATTTAAGTCCAGGTAGTTAACTAATTTGGGGCAGCCCATTAAATAAGTTCAATATAACTTAAAAGAGGAACGTGACACTGTTCCTCATGGTTTTAAAACCATATTTTCCAGCCCAAGGGATTGGGGGGGGGTTTTGTGCATCTGCCTGGTCAAAACCCAGGGGCCACGGCTCTCACCACTGCTGCCATAAGAGCATATCCTGCTCACGCAATGCTGCCATCAGAAAAACAACCCCAAAGTCGTCAATAATGAAAAATACAGGAAAAGACAGGTTTTCCCGCTCTCCGCTACGGGACTCGGGATGCGTTTCCCAACCAGAAAACGTGCCTGCTTTTTAACCGGACCAGGGGCGCGTCTCGGGTGAGACGACGGCGCTTTTGGCTTTCCCGCAAAAATGCAAGACGAAGATGAAAAAGGAAAGGGTGAAGGAGAACTCGGGTCAGAGGAGCAACCTTCAGCCCATGAAACCTGTACAGCGTTTGGGAAGTGTGTGTGTGGGCGGCGGGGGGGAAGCGGGTGTATAGGGAAAGGGGGGGATACTCGTGTGTGTGTGTGGGGGCTTTCATTGTCTCTTGTTTTTAAGAAAGACTACACTCCCTCCTGTGGTCTGGTATTAAGGAACATTTGCACACAGTTACCCTTGGGCATTTCTCCCTCTCCCCCCCCCCCCCCCCCACACCACTTTGGAAAGCTGGTGTTTTACCAGAAAATCAGTATTCTTTCATGCATCCATAGATTTGGTTTACCATCTACCTTTTTTGCCTGTGTAACAATAAATAAATTGAGAGCAATAGCTACCTCCCCGAAAGACTGGGAGGTTAAAGAACTGTTAATGCTTGTGACCATTTGGTAGTAGTTGAGAGCAATACAAGTAACTAGATTATTTTTCCAATGAGAACCTGGCAGTATAAGATTTTTTCTTATAGCCACTGTGTAGTTCAATAGAGGGAAGGTTTTCAACATATCTTCAAGCTTCACACATTTGATATGGTAAATTACTAGTCCATGGATTTTACATCTCACACCTTAAGTTGTACAATGTTAGCACCCCTAGATTTAAGTTTCAGTTAATTCATAAATGCCCACCCCCCCACACCCATGTACACATGCACACCTACCCACCCACCTACCCCCTTTTCCCCATACACACACCTCCACACCACTACACACACATGTGCAGCCCGCTTTCCCCCCCACATACACCGCTATACATATACACACCACCCTACCCCTGCTCCACTACACACACACACACATATACACCCCTGCGTACATACCCCCTTTTCCCCACATACAAACCTCCACGCCCCAGCCCACTACACACACACACTTCAGTGGACACAGCAGCAGCTCACCGTCCCCGGAGACCCCCAGTATCCACCTCTGCGAAGACTTCTGCGCGCAGGTAGGTGGCTGCAGGCTTGTACAGTGTTAGGACAGAGCTGCGTGGTGGTGGGCCCAGGTTACCCACCGTGTTACCCACGTTTCTCCTCTGAACGGTGGCTCCCCACCTCTAAGAGCAGCGTGTCCACGACCGGCCCCGCGTCAGGAGCGCAGACCGTGCTCCCGACTTCCGGCCTTCAGTGGAAGGGCAGCAGCAGACGCCACGGGAAGGGTGGGAAGTCGGGGCCTGTTTTCACCCCAGGGAAACGCTAGCATTAGCGTTAGGTCTGGCACATCACACATTACATCCGTTACAGGGGCGTCGGTTGTAGCCGTGGTCGTCTAAGGACATAGGCAGACAACGTTCTTGGGGTGTGTCACAACCCAAAGTTGTGGTTTTTTGTGTGCGCGCGCTTCGGCACCGCTAAATTATGTTCCCGCCAAATTGCAGCTTTTTTGCACGGTAGAGTTTTCTGCTGCAATAGGAGAACCCGCGTGCAAAAGAGTACTTCCCGCCGTTTGTAGCCTTCTTTGCATGGTGCATTTCTTTTGCATCATAGTGATGCACGGTGCAAAGGAGTTCCCACCATTTGTATTTAGATTCGTGCCACATTATTGGCCGGTTCTAAATGTAGGCATACGTGGCGGCTAGCTATTGGATTGCTAGCCGTACAAAAGGCTTGGGTAGTTTCCGCCCAAGTCGGAGAGAGAGGAAAGCTGGA